AAAACCTTTCAACAAAGTCGTCAGGTTTGTGTCCAACAGAGATGAAATTGAGCTCAGCTCTTCTTGTCCCAGCGATAGTCAATGGACCTGAAATGCTCCAACCGAGAGGGTACCGATAACCGTAGGGGCCGCTCTTGTTGTCTTTCGGGATTCTGACTTCCTTCTGCAAGTGTGCAACAGGGACGTTACTCCCCACAATGATCGAGACTCGTTTAAAGTCCACCACTGGGAATGTAAGGTCTTGAAGGTGCGGATACTTATGGACATCTACTGTCCCCGGCAAAACTCGTTCTGATTGGTTCAGGTCAGGGAGAACGTAAGCTTCATTAACATCAATGTCTTCACCATATGCTTCTACAGGACTGAGAGTAAAGGAAACGCGTCGACTCTCCACCAGCTCCTCACTGTTCGTAATAGTCTTAATCCCGATTTGCTCCGAGATCCCTTTCAGGTCAAGATGATCAGCAAGCTCTTTGTCAATGAGGGTATCGGTACACCCATTGTCAAGAAATGCATATGTAGAAAGGGAACCACCGTTCTCTGCAGTAATGGTTACAGGAACTACATTTAACAAAACTTGGGCTCTTGTGGTGCTGACACCGGCAGATGTAATCGAAGTCTGTGGCCTGTCGCTGGGCGGCTGTCTTGTGCCTTGCTCCATTTGTGGTTGCCGGGTTATTGGGTCAGCAGTCGGAGTACTGTATCGGTTAGTGGGGTTATGAGTGTTCTTGTTTCCAGGAGTTCTGCGTCCATTGTTGTTGTCCCTATGCAGTATTGGTAAGTGGTGTCCAGGACACAGAGAACAAGCTGGTGGCTCAGGACAGGAAGTACCACTGTGATCGGGATTATGGCAACCACAGTTAAAGCAGAACCCATACGATGCTGCGTATTGTCGACGCACGGCTACACGGTCACACTGTTTGACGACTGGGCACTCCTGGAGTCGGTGGGGAGTAGACTTGCAAATTGCACAGTTTGCAGAGTTCTCTTTCTTGGGGGCGTTCTTAAGCGATGTGGCGTTGATCGTAGCGTTTTTCGTGGGCAGGTCCGATCCTTTAGAAGCTTTGGGGGGGGACTTGTTTGTCCTGTTTTCTCCCCTTTGCGGCTGCATTCCAAACACTGGGTCATTCCTTATTGACGCTTGCCTTTTCACGAATTTTGCAATGTCCTTTAGTCGTGCAGTTCCACCACGGCTAACAATCTCGTAGTTTTCGGTCTGCCACTTGGTGATTAAATCATTTGGGAGTCTGTTTACGATTCTTCTTAAATTGGTAGCTACGCTTGCTTCGCGTTCCACATCTCCCTTCAGAACCTTGGTTGAAGTGTTCAGCTTCTCGGCAAAATTAAGCAGACCCATGTTGTCACCATAGGCAAGTTTGGGGCCTGAGACTAACTCTTCGATGCAGGCTTGCGTCACCTGAATAGGGCGACCAAAGCGTTCCTCTAAGATCTTCATTAGCTCACTATAGGAGGAGCCTCGGTTTCTTTTGATGACCTCCAAGGCTTCTCCTTTCAGGAACTTCGGTAAGTACTCTACCCGCTGCGCATCAGTTAGTAGCTCACTTTCAAGGTGAGTATGTGCTTGTTCTTTGAAGAACGGGAAGTCTGCTGGGTTGCCATTAAAGGGTGTAGGAGAGATTCCGTTCAGAAGCTGTACCTTCCACATGGCTGCTACATGGTCTTTAGGGGCTTGCTCTATTACTTTGTCTTCTGGCTGAGACTTAGGTCTATACTGGAAGGTTCGTGGGGCTTGGTATGGTGGCTGCTGGCATTCAGTGACTGGCAGTGCTCCCTTGTTTGCAGTATCGGCAATATTGGATTTGACCTCAGTGGCTGGCTTTTCCTTGCACGAACCAGGTGCTGTGTCTTGGGGGGTGGAGCAACTGACAGGTATAAGAGGCAGTGAAGGTTTGGGTGTCGGTGCTGGGATTTTTGGTGTTCGGGGTTCTGAATCATCAAGTTGAATTTGAGGTGACTGCCCCAGTGGTTTCTCCTCAATGGGATAGGATGTCTGAACAATATTGTCCACACCATTAACAACACCAGTTTCCTCGTCGAACTCATTTTCAATCTTCCAATCCAGTTCAGCTAGAACGGCTTCGTCCTCGAGTAGTCTCAATTCCTTCTTGGCGCTCCGCTCATGCTCTGCTTTGACCAATTCGGCTTCTTGTTGAGCCTTGCTCCTCGCCAACTCAGCTTCCTCTTGTGCCCTACTCTTCGCTAACTCCAATTTCTTTTTTGCTAAAAGCATGGCTCTAAACCTTTCTTTCCGGGACGACGAAGAGGATCTTGAAGTAGTGGAGCTCTGAGACTGGTGCGACTTGTGACTTTTAATGGAGCGTTCATCATCACGTTCTTGTGTTTCTTGATCAGTCCGTATTTGCGTTTCGCATTCTTCTATTGTAAACATCATCTGTTCTTTGAGGGACTTGAACCTTTGCTGTACTTCTTGTAGTCGTTTGCTGTCACGTATGCCTGGCAGGTACTTCAGTGTACAGTCTCAAAGGATTTCAAATGATAGCTAAATGATCTACTATTTTGCGGGCGGACAAGTGCTCCCAGTTAGTGTAGAGGAGAGTTTGGAGCTGCTGTGTTTCAAAGGCAACTTCTTTAGATTCCTTGTTCCACAAAGATGCAAGTCTGCGTTGTTCCCTTATTTCGCGTTGATGCACAAGTTCACTAAAATCAATTTGAGTATTTGGTACGGGGTCCTGGCGTAGGGGAGTATCCAACTGCTCCTCTCGCTGAGTCCTCAGGGTCCATTCCGCGATCCACTATCGCGCGGTCCAGTCCAGAGATTCCTGCGATTCCGTTCGGTCGGTTCTGAGCGTTCGTTTTCTCGAAAATCCAGGTGAAAACACAGTTTTCTCTTCGTACTTTGCAGAATTTTTTCACAATGTTGGGGTCGACACAGAAATTTCGACGCGTTGATTGGACTATTAATCTGTCTTTAATCGCCAAGTTTCTCGTGCTTGGTTCGATCGGTGATCACTGGTCATGAACGGTGAAAACTGAACATAAAATAAGCAAAAATGACAAATAAACCTAAAGAAAACCTAAATAAACCTAAAGCGACACTAAAGAGCGAAAACTACTTACATTCTGTGCGATGCAATCGATGAGAAATTCAAAACATTTGCTCTATAACACTACACTTGAAAACACGTGGTGATCTGGTTTTGCTGTGGTCATGTGACCATCCGAAACTAACATGATATAAGTAGTCACGTAGTGTCCAAAAAGGAAGTGAACGCAAAAATAAATCAAAATAAAATTTGGACTAAACAGTATCTGGGCATCCTAATTGATTCAAACTTGAATTGGAAGCACCATGTTGAAGAAGCATTGGTATCTTCTCTATACTTCGTTATTATGTTGGCCTAGATATTTTATTAAGCTTATATTATGCACTTATATATCCTTTTTTGACCTATGGAATAATTATCTGGGGAAATACCTATAAGACCACTCTTCAACCAATTTTCATTTTACAAAAAAGAGCAATGCGATTAGTTACCTTTTCTAGATTCGATGAGCACTCTAGCCCTTTGTTTAAATCTCTTGAAATTATAAAATTCCTGGACCTAGTAACTTTTCATGTTGCAATCTTTATGTATAAATATCATAATCAATTATTGCCATCGGTCTTTAATTCTTTTTTCACTAAAATTTCGCAAATTCATACCTATAATACAAGGCTTGGTGCAAAACAGTCTTATTATCTTCCAAAAGCAAGAACAAATTATGGTATATTCAATATCAGATTTCAAGGTCCATCAGTTTGGAATTCCATTGACGAAGATATCAAATTATCTTCATTGTCTTTGTTTAAAAAGAAAGTGAAACAGCACTTTATCAAAGATTACTAGACATCTGTACATTGGTAACTTTAAAATGGAAATAATACTGTTTTGCAATGTATGAATTTTAGTCTCTTTAATATACTTGTGGTTTACTTAACTCTCTGTGTGCGTTTCTCTGTTTTCTTTGTTCTTCTGTCCCTGAACTAAACATTTAAACATCATTTCTTTTAACTGGCTGCCTGGCATTTTTAACTCTTAGGTTATTTCGGGCAGCCAGCGCCCCTATCATCGTCTGTACTATTGTTATAAATTTTTATTTCTTGTATATTATGGAGTGAAATAAAGTGTTGTTGTTGTTTGAAGGAAAGAATTGACAACAGATACCCATTAGCAGAAGTGGCAAGAGACAAAAGACTTTTCGACTCGTTGCAATGAAGATCAGAGGAAATATTCTCTGCTCAGGAGAACTTAGCGGCTTATGTTGTCGATGGAACGCATACCATCAAAACGTGGACACGATCGATGAAATGAAACACTTACCAAGAACATGAATTGGAAAAACCTTTCCCTCCTGTATTATTCGTTCGGAGGCGACCTGAGGTCTGTTGTTTTTGTCTCGTTGCTGCAGCAGACAACTTCTCGGTACAGTTTGCGTGTGTTCTGAAGTTTAGGTCCGCTTAGTAACACATGTCTGCTCCAAAAACGGCTGCCACTTAGCGCAGAACCGCCTGAAGCAATGGTCATTTTCCACGTACGCTGTGATCGTTGGCGTCTGCGCAGTTGTGAGTAAGTCAGCTTAGAGAAAAATATTTAGCTTTTGATAATACACAGCATGCATTCTTTAAAAGATGCCCATTTTTTACTTTCTTTTTTCCTATTTATTGTGTCCGTGGTTAAAAACGATTTTTATTGGACGCACATTCATATAAACCCACCGCAGTGAAAAAAAAGGGTTTTTTTGTTTGTGTCACGGTACTGTAGGTTTTGATTTTGTTTTGAAATTCTTACTGCAATATAACTGCGAAGAGCAAATGGTGCATTTTTTTCGTAAATACTACGTGACAACTTGATATAGCAATTTCACAAAGGCAGTCTCATTGTTCTTGGCTTGATAATATCTTCCCAAGCCAAAACTGAGTTGTGGTATGGCAAGTTCTCAAAAGTAGTCTCATTATTCTTGTGCTTCAAATAATGTTTCTATCTTCCCAAACCAATACTGAGTTGCAGAATAGCTTGATGCAGAGCACCTAAAGGCAGGGTTAGCAAACAAATAAACGCCAAAACTGCGTTCGCGTTCCATTCCCGCGTTAGGTCTGCGATCAAAGGAATAACTTACTCTGAGAACTTCTGATTGCTGGCGTAAACATCCAGAAAGCATTTGTTAAAGCCGTGCAATCAATGCACTGTTTGCCTTGAATGCTTATGAATTCATAGAGCATGCACGAAAGGCCCGATGGATATGTGTGAGTTTTCATGATGTCAAAGTCTTCAAGGGAGGCACGCAGGTAATCTCTGAAGTCTACACCATTTTTCGGAAATTCACAGGTTGCTCGCCAGGAAGGGGACTGGTCTCGGATGGAATGCATATCTGCAAGTGACAGACGATATTCTGACCAATCGTTTGGTAGGTTTTGATTTACTTGGAAATCATGTGACAAGGCCTTGCCGCTGAATATATCACTTGCCCAATCCCTTTTGCCTTTTTCCAAAGAGTAGCTTGCACTAGGGTCCAGGCAGCACCCGGTTCAGCTTTAAAATCACAATAAACATTCAGCGTAGAATTTGCATGATTAAAGGGGCTGTGTCACGGCATTTCAGTTCATTTTGTTTATTAGTTTTGCCAATTAATCGCCCTCAATCGCTATGGAAATAAAGCAAGCAAAGAAGTTACATGGAAATGACAAAATCAGAGATCCGAGACAAAGAAATATGTCTCCTGAGCATTATTTTTGAAGTTGCAAGCAGCAGGGAGAAACTGTGAAAAACTGATAGGCTGAACAGTTTTCAAAAACCCTAATTTCAGTCCGTTTCAGTCTTCTTTAGTTTTGCCCATCCGTGGCATCTGTTGTTTCTGTTATGTTATTTTAGCCTTCCTTTAAAGTTTGAAGCGGTTATTTTTATGTTTCTCTTAATTTAACGGGCATTTTGTAATTTCCTAATTTTGCTGAATTTCGTGACACAGCTCCTTTAAGTATATGGTAAATTCCATTCACTTGTCTCCCAGAAACTAAGACATCGTGACATGAACGAAGGGGTTTGTGACATCTATGACCATAATAGCCAGGCGTACATGCGCAATTATAACGTCTGGCTCTAACGTCACAGACCTCACGACACGTGGCACCATTTTCGCATGGATTTGATCGACAACATCCGTTGTGACAAGTTTCCCTTGGACAGCTTAATTTTCTCTGCTACAAAGTAAAAAAAAAAAAATCTCTTTCACTGTGAGAAACTCAGAGAACCGTCAACACCAGATATATCTATGGAATGTTACTGTGTTGCAAGGAAAAAGCTATTAAGGTGTGAGAAAACTAAACCGCAAAAGGCATCGGTAATTGGTTTGTGGTTTATGTGGTTCGTTCCCGTGTCCTGAACTTTATTGTGATTGGTCACTACGCAATTGTTGACCGGCTGGGGAAGCTTCCATCAAAGGAACAACAGCTTTCGAGAACACAACACTTTATTCTCAGAGCACATGCGGCCATCTTCATACAATACAACACGGCCCACGCGGAACACCGCTGACCCCTACTTTACCATCACAGAATTGTCTCCTATCAACATCCTCCCTTTCAAAGAAAACTATTAACATGTTAATATGTTTCGAAAAATAATAATAATAATACAAGAAAAACATAGTAAGTCATTAACACTAACAAATGTGAACAGGCAATATCAGATAATAGTCAACATCGAGTACCATGCTGCACTCTAGTCTCCAGTTTCAAAGGTCCAGCCTCTTTGGTGGTCTAATTGGTCGGCAATAACGCGAGGTTTGCACTGGTGGAAGTGAATTCTCATTCGTGGACTCGGAAGTGGGGTTAGGCACTATGGTTTCCGCAGAATTTCCGACATCCACACCACTATCTATTACTGGTTGTTCTGGCAAGGGTTGTGAGTCACATGAGACCTGGCGCTCATTAGGTCTTAAGTGGATCCTGTTCCGTCTAACCAACCCGTCTTGCGTTTTTATCACGTACGAGCGTGGTGTTACTTCGCCCAAGACTTCGCCGTGACCCCACTGTTCACCATGGTGATGGTCATTTGGCCTGGTGTACACATACTGTCCAGGCGTAAGAGGGGGTAAGTCTCTGCTGGCAGTTTTGTCATAATGAGCTTTGGCTTTAGCTCGCCTACCCAGATGCTCGTCACGGACTACGTTTACAGGTGGTACAGATTGGCTCAACAATGATTCAGATGTTGGTAAGTTAGACTTTGTTCGTCGGCAGAGAAACCTTTGTGCCGGAGAGTAAGACATACCCTGAGGCGGAGTGTTCCTATGGTCTAAGAGACCAGTGCAGAGGTCTGACTTTTTAACATCTTCTTCGCCTCCTTAACGGCAGCTTCAGCTTTACCGGTAGCTCTAGCATAATACGGTGACCGGGTAATCAACGTGAAACCACAGGTCTTGGCAAAATTCGAAAATTCCTGAGAGGTATACTGAGGTCCATTGTCGGACAAAAATATATCTGGTATACCATAACGGGCAAAGTGCGCCTTTGTGACTGAGATAACATGGGCAGCAGTGATGTCTTCATTCAACAGATCGACCTCAAACCAGTCACTGTAGTGGTCTACCGTAACAGAATACCAACGCCCACCCTGCTTGAATAGGTCCTGCGAGATAAATTTCCATGGACCTTGTGGAATTTCATGAGACAACATTGGTTCCTTTGGGAGGGCTGAACCATAGCTAGCACACGATGAACATTTGGCACTCTCTTGAAGGATTGCAGCTTGCATTCCAGGCCAGTACATTACTTCTCGAGCCCGGCGAATCATGCTTTCACCGCCCTGGTGACCGCGGTGGAGTTTTTTCAGCATATTAAACTGTAGCTTCCCGGGAATGAGGACTTTGTGTGACTTGTACAATACACCATTGTATACCGCTAGCTCATCCCTTAACGGATAGTAATGACGGAGTGCTGTGGGCACCTGTGATTTGTCGGAGGGCCAACCATGGGCCACGAACATACATAGGACTGACAGGGTAGGATCCGCCTCGGTTTCAGCTTTAATTTCCTCCAGGGTGCGAGGATACATGTCAGGGGAGTCTAGTTCCATGGTCTCCAGTTCTACCCGGAACATCTCTAGTGCATCCTCTGAGTTGCACTGGAACACCTCTTCTTGTGGGTCTGAGGGTGTAGGGAGGTTCAAGGCGGCTCTCGACAGTGTGTCGGCCAAGTACATGTACTTGCCTTTCTTGTAAACGACTGTGAACTTGAACGGCTGTAGCTGAAGCATCATCCGTTGAAGGCGTCGTGGGGCTCTACTCAGGGGTTTTTTGAAAATCGTTTCTAACGGCTGGTGATCAGAATGTACTATAACATCTTGTTTACCATAAAGATACTGGTAGAACTTTGTACAGGCTACCTTGATGGCCAGACATTCCTTTTCAATAGGTGCATAGTTGACTTCAGTTGCTGACAGCGTTGAACTTGTAAAAAGCCACAGGTTGCCCATCTTGCAGCAGGGCACCTCCAAGGCCTGTGTCACTGGCGTCCACTTGTAATACACATGGCTTGTTCACATCAAAGAACTTCAACGTCGTGGCATTTGCAATTAAGCTTTTGGCTGCCTTAAAAGCTTTGTCATGCTGGGAGGACCATGACCACACTGCATTCACATGTGTCAGCTCAGTGAGCGGCTTCACAATTTCTGCAAGGTTTGGGGTGAAGCGTGACAAATAATTGCACATGCCCAGGAACCGCTGAACCCCTTTCACATCTTGTGGTGGGGTCATGTCCTTAATAGCCTGGACTCGATCTGGATGTGGGGTGATGCCATTACTACTAAGGAGATGGCCCATCCAAGTAACTTGTTTCACTTTGAACTGAAATTTCCTGGGGTTTAACTTGAGATTCACTTCACGGCACCGCAACATTAAGTTCCACAAGTTAATATCGTGATCCTTCTCAGCCTCCTCCATACTATCTCCACTCCCAAAGACCAAAATGTCATCAGCCTTGTTCACAACACCAGTCAATCCTTCCAGTGCTTCATGTTGTCTACGCTGGTATTCCTCTGGTCCTAAACTGACCCCGAACGGCATACGCAACCAACGGTAACGACCAATTGGAGTATGCATGGTCGTTAGGAATGAGGAACTGTCATCTAACTCAATGTTCGTGAACCCCTTGTACACGTCCACACAGGAAAAAATTTCGGCATTGTTCAACTTAGGCAGTAACTCATCAACTGTAGGATGGGGTACTTTGGGACTTCAATGGCTTTATTGATCGTTTGGCTAGGATCAATACACACACGTATGCTTCCGTCGGGTTTCTCTTTATAGACGCTGTTGGAGATCCATGCAGTCGGCTCAGTAACCTTTTTCAGGATACCCTGTTTTTCAAGGTCACGTATTGCGTCAGATGCTTTTGCTTCCTTTGCTACAGGGCACCGATGTGGATGAGCTTGGATTGGAGTCACATTAGGGTTCATGCTGATGTGCAGGGGCGGCCCCAAAGTTCCTAACCCTGTGTGGACATCCTTAAAGGCATCCATGACAATGGCTTTAGTCAGTTTTCCCCAGGGGACAGGCACATGGGACACACCCACCTCACTAGCCATGCTCCTCTTTGGACGAACGTTTTCTTCTCTGATAACAGCACGATGAACTACACTAATATCCTCACACATACCATGTGCTGGAGAGGTGCTGGTGGTTTCCTCAGTCACATTAATCTCTTCTGTTGCACTACCATTCAGTGAGGCGGGCCTGACTTCCTGATCAGGAGTTCCACTTTCCTCCACTCTTCCTCGCAGAGGTCCCGAGTTAAGCTGGCACACTTCTGAGGCACCCCCTTTTTGGTTGTTACGATCCCAGGAGCAGGTGTTTCCTCTTATCTCAACCAGGCCTAATCTAACACAATCAGATCCACTTAGAAGAGATGGCTGTGATCCCATGACGTCCTTATTTAACAGCTGAAACTGAAGAGTGTGAAACTTTTCTTGAGTTTCACAGACCAAGTCTATTTGCCCCACTGGCTTTATTACACCTCCTCCATAGGTACGCAGGGTGGCAGGAGGGTTTGATTAGGCCATGGATATCAACTCCTGCTGGACACATGCTCCAGAGGTCCTCCACTGCAAGGGTGTTGGTTGTTGACGCAGTATCTAATTGCAAAGTTTTCCAAGTAAAAAATTTTTTTGCTGCGGATAATTTGATTGCCGCGAAAAACTTTTTCCCCTTCTGTACAGATACCGATCTCACAGAGTGAGTGTCCAGAGTAAACAAATGATATGTTTCTTGGCCATCATCAGAAACTGAATCATCCAATGCATTCACATTCTGAGGTTTGCTCAAACATTTCCGAGCTATATGCCCCTCTTTGCCACATTTTCTGCACTTATACTTAAGGAGAAATGCACGACACTTTTCCTTTGGGTGACTCGGTGTCGCCCCACAGTAGTTACACTCAGACTGTTTTCTAGACGACTCTTTGCCATTGCTTTGGCTTTGCGAACGAGTGCTGTTTTGCTTTGACTGGGAGGC